AATAAAACTCGTACCAATTTCATTCTTAACTTCCTTCTCGAGTGAGCGGTGTCAATGACTCAGTAAAATGCAGAAACTCATAACTCCGCTCAATGTCGCCCAAAATTAATAATTTTTTCTATTACAAATAATGCTGAAAAACCGAATTTTCTTAATAGAATTGTAAATCTTGCAAATTGGTACCGACGTGATTCAGATTTCTTATACCTCAGAAATGGGTTGCAGCAAGATGGCTGCAGAACAATAGCAGAAAAATTTGTTAAAGTAATTCATAGATTCTTGATTGAGCTCCATCATCCATCCTTCCGTTTTACAAACAAATATGAAGAGCGTTCAGAACAGAAAATAGTAACAAAGAACTCATTGAGTTAATAACTGTGAATCGTGTGAAAGATTTATAATTCAGAAAGACTGTCTCGGATATATTTATAGTTGAAGTTTTCTCAATTTCTGTGTGACCTTTTATGAGATATGGAGAGTGCTTTGTCTTGTTCCAGAAATGAGTTGTAACTCTCGGCCCACACTTTCTGAAGTAGTTATTCTACAAATCGTCTCGTTATGTTGAAGAAAGAACCTGTTGCCTCCATAACCAGATGCTGATGCTTTCTGTGTGCGTCATTATGAATGTTGCTCCTTCGAACTTGGTTATAGGCAATAGTTTGTCTTTGTTAAAGCTTTTTGACACAATACCAAGTACCTTAAACAATGTCTGATCATACTAACATTGAGCTACGCCTTGCCTTAGCCTGTAATTTTTCGTGAATGTATGAAGCGGCTTTATGTATATTATCATCGGATGTGCCATCGCTCACAAGACAGATAATCTAAAGAGGGATGTTATGATAATGAGTGGAAAATCACCTGCAGTCTGTCATGTCGTGGAGTAGGAATCATTTTGTTTCTTTTGCGAGAATCTCTCAAATTCTGTTCCTTGTACAGAATGCCAGCTGCGAAGGATAGAGCTTTTGCTAGCATCGTTGCACCACCTGTATACGACATACGATGGATACCTTCTGCAATAGTTGTTTGATGGTATGGCAGTATTATGTTCGAAAGTACTTTTGACATTATCTAATGAGTAATATTTGTCAAATCCAAATACAACACTGGGCTCTTGAGCGTATTGAATTAGTGCTATTCTAGAACGTCCAGGTGCAATGTCCACATCTTCTAGAATCTTGATGATATTCATTTTCATCTGAACAAGTATGAAATAACAAACAATGAGATCCCTTGTACTGACCGCATCGAAGTTTGTGATACCGATACTACTAGAGCTATCGAATAGAAATAATAAATCAATGGGCGGCAGAGTTCTTGCAGGATGACCCAATGGAAGATAACCTCGGGATGGAGGATTATCTGCTGATGATGTGTCTTCAGTTTCCGAACTCACAAAGTTTGGATCTTCTCTCCAATCTAAATTATAATCATGGAAGATAACAGAGGCGTTCAACTCACAACGACTTGCTAGAGATTCACCGAAATCGAGACGAGACATTGCTCGTCTACTAGTGAGTGCGCCATCTAGTTGTTTGGCCTTATGATTATCGTGTTCATCATGGTCGATTATAATTTTCTCTCTATTCAGTTCTTCATGCAGATTACCTGCATATAAAGATTTCCGAGGACTTTTTAAAAGTGATAGAACCTTGGTTTTTCTTGTTTGATAACTGTAAGGTAACCGAACTGGGATCATTGTTCTTTTCATCACTCGTCAACCGGGTAGAGATGTGCCCGTTCGTAACTTCTAACTCAAATTCGAATCTTTCTTAATTACTAGCTCAATGACACACCTGCGTTCCTTCAAATCTAAGATGAAGGTTATCAGCACCATCAACTTCCAGAGTTCGTGTCTTCTGATTATGAGACCCTGAAACAATGAATAACTTTCGTTTGAGATATAGACCTGCCTTGATTATTATTCAAGTTTTCTTTACCGACACTTCTCTCTTTGTTGTCTGGTTGTTGATGATACAGAGGTATGATGATCGGTGGTTGGTTAGGAACTATGGACGTAGGCTGCTCTTTTAAATGTTGCTTCAGTTCGTCTTGTGCATCCTAATACATTAATTAAGAAGAGTTCCAGCTTTATTCCCCATACCTTCAGCAGTTTTTGTTGTTTCGTAATTTCCTCTGTGTATTTGGCACCTGATTTGATATTATCTTCCATTTGTGCATGTAGTTTCGAAGTAAAATATTCGTTCTGAGAGCGAAGTGAATTTTCATAATCATAAACGATTCTTCTAAGCTTCTTGTCTGGAGAGATTTTACTAAAGAATGACTAATCACACCCACTTTCATCTCTGAACAGATAAACTAGGTAGCAGCAGATCAGAACTGATATGACTATACATGTCCCAAGAATAGCGGACACAGTCCAACACAGCGGTCCAAACTTGGAATGACTCTTCTCACCTAAAGCAAAACGTTAAGTTTGTTGAATTTTGAAGACATTTTCCAAATTTTTCAACGTACACGTTGTGGTCCACCATATGGATTTCTCAGCATTTTGTTTGATACATTTGGTAATGTTCCAATTGAGATAGTTCCACCAGGAAAGATCAGCAATGGAACTCATGTTCAAATCAATCAAGAAGAGAAAAAATAGATTGGAGAGAAATCGAAAACAACTGGGCAGTTATATATTTATAGGATGGTTAGTATAGTTGAGTCGTACTCGAACAAGAAGATTCGAAACTTCAAGATGCCTAGCGACGGTCGCGTAATTATGCAAAAAGAGCGAAATGTTGAAAGAGGACGTAACGCACGAAGGAAAGGCTTCCTAGTTCATGTCTTGTTTATTCATATTACGAAAACAGCCTTTAAGGTCCAAGAGGTAGGAAGCATGATAAACTTTTCAGTCAATGTCTTCACACAGTTTGATCAGACAGATGATTTCTAATACTAGATCACTCACCTACAAACTGATTCACACTTTCACATAGTGGATGAACCAAAAGATCCAGCGCATTGAAGTCTATAGCATTCAATCGAATGTTGGTAGCTGAAGGCTCAAACATGTCAGGCTGAAATTAGGAAGCTTGAAAAAGATGCTGAAGATGAGAAACCTTTTGACTATTGGAATTGATATTAACCTGGAAAATGTGTATTGGAGATATTGGTGACATTAGCACCTCTTTCTCTCCCTATAGAAAAATATATGTAAACATTTAGACAAACTGACAACTAACTATATCCGGAAGCTTATATCGACTGTTGGAGATGAGAATGATAACATCAGGAATCCATTTTCTATTACCATTTTCTAGACCAGTTTTAGCTATATAGTTAAGACTTGCGGGGGGCGAGCAGTTAAGTTTCTTATCCATAGTGTCACATGGAGCATATAATACTTGCTGAAAGCACATAACCGGGAATTCCAACTTTACACAGACTTGTAGCTTCATATTGACTTCTTCATTATCTTCCACTTCAACCAGCTCCCATTCTAATTTGGCTTTTGGTGTGAACTGTGCAACAGCAACCTTTGAGCTTATCTCCGAAACATCAATGTCGGACAAGCACTATAATACAGACTGAGAGCAAAGCATTCGATTCAACCAACCTTTCTCATGAATGAGATTTCTTTCTCGTGTTCATATTGATTCACATTGTATGAGCCATCCAAAATAAACAGTATGTCAGATTTGGGCCATTTGCACATGTTGATGAAAGGACAACTGATCAGCAGCAGTAAGGATAATATGTTTAGAACAACATTCTACAATATCATATCAGTTAGCAAAAAAACTTGTGCCTCACCATTATCTTATATCATCTACTTGGCAAGTTAGCATAGAGAATTACTTTCGTACAGCTGTTTCCTCTCCTTGTCGCTAAGGGTTGTCACAGTCCTGTTGCCAACAAGGATTGGTGAGGGATTTAAAAATGCTTTTCATGTAACTTATAGTTCTTGAGACTCGGCGGCGTTCAGTAGCCATCTAATATCCGAAATGAGTAAGTTCGAGATATGAAAAGGTGAGCTCAACTCATCTCTCTTAGCAGAATCTCCAAAAAGGAAGATTGAAGCTTATTGATTTTTAAAACATTGAACTATGTGCATCATGACTAAAACTAGGAAATGAGTCAATCATCGTTCTCAGGGCAGAGTCCTAAACAGAAAAAAAATGATAGACTGATCAGCATCAGTGAGCAAACTACGAAATGCTGGTTGACTGACCGGAATTTATCTTGTAAGGTCATAGACAACCGATAGGGTGCAAAAAACATAATTTTTTGAAAGAAAATTAATTTCTTAAGAATAAAGTATATTTTTTTAAATAGAATGATCTCTCTAGAGAACAATACTTGAAAATCATATACAAACCAAATATGGGACTCCCTTATAAGTGGATTGTATCATCCTCGTTTTCATAGCTCCACTGAATTCCCATAATAGCCGTCAATGAACATTTTAATCTGGTCAGGAGGTGGCGCAGCAGAGTATCTGTGTTGTGTTTGCTCGAATTCCATCATCGTTCCGCCATGTTCGTGTCAAAACCTCGTGTAGTTTCTGCAAACTCTTCGTTAGGTAATTGTTTATGTTTACAAAGACTTTTTTTATCACCTCCCAATAAATATGTTCTGATTAGAAGTGTTGTCAGTCAACAAGCTATTCATATACGATCAACCAATATCAAATTCCTTTTCTGAATTACGAACCAATTTTTAAAAAATATCTGAAAATTATTGTTTCAATCCTTGTTTTCATCGTCATATAACCTATCAATTAGCATTTTTGCACTTTTCACGTCAACGTGAACATCCACGTAGACTCACGTGGAAGCATTATTGCCACTATTTTTATTTAAACACAACATGCACAGTTATCGATCCGGTGAGGAAACAGTGTAAACCTTATTGTACGTCATTCTTTTATTTTCATTTTTCTAATGTTTTGAGGAATTTCTGATTCAAGACGTGCTAAAAGCTTTTCGAAACGAAACCATTACAAACGACTCTAGCAAACACTCGTGGACTTTATTGCGGTAAATTTTCTTTTTTGAATCTTACAATTAGGACTTCATCATGATCAATCTACTTCTGTGTCTAAAACTGTAGTTTAGGAGAAAGTTTAATTCTCTTAACCATCTTGCCCCCTCCCTCATTGAGCAATCTTTCTTTTCTTTGCTCTCTCTTTCGTATCGACATCTCTCATAAGGCTCTCGTTTTTTCTCTTATCACATATTGAAGCTTATCTGTTTAAATTCCGCCGAAAAAAATGTCGTCCTCTGACCTACTCCTACTCTCTCATACATTTTTGTACTGTTTCACTGGTTCTATACGCTTTCTCTCTATCTATCGCTCTTTCTCTGTTTTTCTTCTCTCTATACTCTTGTTGGTCTTCAACTTCTTTATGATTTTCACAGTTTTTCATAGTGATATGTATTGTCAGTAATTATCGCATGGGTTGTGGACCAAGCAGAGAAGAACAAGTGGATAGTGGGTCTGGCCCCAAGAATTTGGTTATTGCTGAAGCTTTGAACCAGTACAGGAATTCCATGAGAGCTCAAAAATATGTTACTAGCTCTGATGTGAATGCTCAGAACCCTTATGAGGATCTTTATAGTCGAGGGCTCAATCCATTTGGTTTGTTCACATTTTTGACATGCTATTGTAAATGATCGGTTACGCTACATATCAACGGCAAACCTGAATATTGCTACCTCTGCAGTTTAGATAGTCAATGGACAGTCCGTTATGTGATACCGAATCCATCTACTGACCTATCCCTTAGTTAGATAGGATTGCAATGTAGTTTTAAAGTCAGTTTGATTTCCTCTGTTAGATGGACGGGTTACTCGTTTGAAAATTGCTAAATTTTGCAATACATGAGTCATTAGAAAAAATAATGATAGGGTTCTACCTACTTCTAATGGATGGTTGGGCTTGTGGTAGTAACAAGCTCATCTATCTTCATTCATATATACATTGCATTGTTTCTGCCTTATCCAAACTGCCCTATTCTGTTAGTTTACAATATACAAATCAAATTTGTACTTTGCTCCTCTATCGATTGTTTTTTTTATTCTGGAACTCTTTTTGGTTATTGTCTCACTAGAGCAAATTATATGCTTTGATGATGGGATGGCTCTATTGCATACAAACCATGTCATTGAACGTCTTAGCCACGTCAGATACTTTTTTTTTTCAACTTTTCCCTTATCATTTTTGGTGTTTCATTATTCCTATGATTTTAGTTTTGCTGCAAAATGTTTCATAATTGTAGTTTTCTTTTTCTCTCAACGCTCTCATCAATTGCTTTTTTTCTTGACGCGTCTTATGCTCATAATGACACCTCCCACATCATTCGGTCCAACCATAACACGAGTATTGTAAATTGTCTTGCTATCGCTTTGATCCTTCAACGCTCAGTCGATCTCTGAGTTGATTCTCTATTTTTACATATTTTCCAATGGCTTCTGCTGTGGAACCTGACCTTCACAATTCTGTTGATGTACTCAATGGGCAGCTCGAAGCCCATGTAACTGACACTATGTCTGCAATAATTGATTCGAGTATTCTAGACGAAAAATGTTCAGAGTCTAAATTACTTCATTTTGAACCTGAAGAAGATAATAACGTTGAGCGCCTAGATGTCACTGTTTCTCTTAAACCTAGCGAAAGTTTGCACTGTACTTCTACCTCTGATGTCAATGCGTGTACTGGCGACGAGCTTCCATCAATTCATCTTGTTTCACCAAGTGTTCTTGCGATCGATGCGGAAGAAACATCTGAAGTATTTGATGATTCATTATGCATAGGAGAACGTGAAACTCCTGGAATAGTTCCCGAACAGAACATGTCCCTAGAGCATGCTGAATATGGTGATTGCGATACAATAGCTGAGTCATGCGTCGTTTCAAGTTCTGAAAATGACACAACTGCGGTTACTTCACAACTCTTGTCGTCTTCTTCTGAAATGGAACACACTGTGAACAAGGAGAAACTATCCGACGTTGCTCCTGACTGTGAAGACGTCGATGATGTTGTGGATGAAGTTCTCACTACTGTCCTGGAAAGATGTGACATTTCAAATGGATCTTGCACTTCACTTTCCCACGTTTCGAACGAGCTAAATCTGCAAGAGGACACTGTTTTTGCGCCAATTTCAAATAATGCAGTTGAGAAAATTGATTCAACTGACATGTCTTACAAGTTGCTCGTGGAAGAAACTGTAGAGAGCGAAGAGTTATGTGCAACGACGGAAAAGGAGAACGAAAAAGTCAAAGAAGCTTCTATTTGTACAGTGATTGTTGAAGACAACTGCACAAGAGAAAAAAGTAAACTGTCATCTTGATAATTCTCTTACCTGTATTTTTTTCAGAAGCATTACCATCAGTTATAGAGGAAGAACAGGAAGAGATAAATAGTAATGCTCTTCTTCTGCCACCATCGCCTCCTGTACCTGTAAGACGTCGATCGGTGCTTCAGAGTACCCCCGTTACCTCTCCATCAGTACCACCAAGACGACGCTCTGTACTGTATGCATCGCAAACCTCAATTAATCGTAAATCTGTTAACAATAGCTTGCCGAGAAGCCCTTTGGTTACCAGTTAGTTTTCATTTTGATAATAACTCTCACTTGGCCATAGCGTTGAAGAGTGTTTTGAATATAGTGGTCAAAACCGCCCTTACTCTAATTGTAAAGGCTGTACAAATACTTGCACTCTATTCTCACTCCGATCTTTCTTTGCATATCTAAGCTCGCGTCTAAATTTCTGCTGTTAGAGTTCCTATTCAATATAATGAGACCTACACGTGGTATGTTTCACATAACTCGCCAGTTTTTTTTAATTTCAAAGCCATTAGCCAGCATTCACCTCTCTAGTTTTTCAAGCAATTGGAAACGCTCATCTTATGCTGATACCTTACGTTCGATGACTCGCATGTTTTTATTAGAGTTATCTCCATGCTTTTGACATTTTCTTGTTTCTTTAAAGCGTTTTCTACTATTCGATGAGTTCAATACTTGAGGTAGTCGGCGTTCATGTCGTCCTTAAGTGTTTCTGATAAGGACCATCACAAACGCTTCAAATTTTCTTATTTTTTCGTTATATGTGCAAGCTTACAAATGATGCTGATAATACCTATAGTTATCCTCCTGTCATTAGTTTGATAATTTTCCACAGCTCCACTGTACTGTTTCGTTTGAATTAAACTTCAAACCGAAAACATTGTTTCAAGCATTGTATGGTGCTTTCAGTTTTTCTGAATTATGCTAACTTGTGATCGTCCAATATGGAGAAACAGAGCGGGATCAGGTCGTTTAACCCTTATTTTATTATGTGATAAGCGTCTCTTACTCTGTTTGCCATCCTTTCTTGTTGTAGAAATGCGATGTTCATACGTATATGCCTATTACACTAGTCTTTTAGTTTCCTCACATATAGTATAGTTCCTAAGCAGAACAATAAGTCATACTACCTTTTCCCGCAACTTTTAACTCGTATGTCTGTTCTCACTCGTGCTCACTAACTTGTCCTTGACTGAAAGAACGCATACTGGACTCTATTTCTTTGGCAAAAGCTGATTCTTGGTCGATTCCAGCTGCTGCGCTTTCGAAATACAGGGTCAGAGCTAGCCGCATGTAGCATTAATTGATTTCGTGTTTCATTTCATCAGAATATCTATACGTCGTTAGAAGAACATTTGTTGTTCGACATTGGAAATTTCTATCATTCGCGAATTCCTGAGACTTAATTTAATCATGATCATTATGAGACTTTCATCGCCATGTTTGTCACATTGATTTCTAAACCCATCGTTTTTCGTTCGATTTGATTCTCTTCACGAGGACGCCACAATCGTAACGATAATGTTTCTGATAGGCAGCCGCTATCTACTTTTTCGTTTTTTTCGTTTTTTGTTTCATTATATCTGTCGATTCCGATCCTCTCGCTGACCCCTTTTCGTCAGCAAACATATTGATCAATAGCAGCCTTCTCACACGGTATAAACCGCGATTTCTAATTTTTCCTATAATATACCTTGTGTGAAATATTATATCAGAGCATTCTATCATCTACGTATTGATAGAAGTTAGACTAGCTTGCAAGCATTATGTTTCTTCTTCTTTCGTCAGAATGGACCCGCTGTCATTTAGCTGTATGCGTACTCACACTATTGATTAAATGTCGATGCTATGCCCCGTTCAACGTACTTTATTAATTTTTATGTCGTTATAACTCTTTTCTATATGTTGTTATACTGTTTCGGACATCTTTTTTTGATTCTAACACGGTTCTAAATGAGTCATTCATGATGCTTGGCCGAACACTCCTCTCTGCGAGGCTGCTATTGATGTCATAGTGCGCTCGCTGTTGATGAATCACTCTTGTTTTTAGAGAATATATATTAGAAATTGAAATCTGACTTTGAGAGTTATCAGCTGCTTGTCCCCTCCTTAATGATGTTTATTACTCGATAAACCCCTCGCATATATGTAAATATAAACATTTGTTTATATATAAAGACAATTAGTGGTTAATACTCTATGAACCAGTATTTTTCGATCTACTACATTTTCCAACTCAGCTAAAATTCGACCAATTCAATTTCCTCGTATTGATTCTCATCGTCACTAATATAAGAGTTGATTCGTGTTTGAGCCGCACAGTTTCATTCATTCATGACTTCGGTCTGCATGAGCTCAATCCATCATTCATCTTTATATTAGCGCTATTAGGCTTTGACTCTAATTGTGTCCTAAAGAATTTGAGCCCAAACTTTTCATTTATTCACTTATTTGAACGAAACATTTACAGAAGAGGCAAGCAAACCAGCTAAAAAGAGAAGCATGTTCAGTTGGATTGGCGGAGATTCTTCTAAGAAGAAAAACAAAGAGGTTCGCTTTATACTTTTGAACTTCGTTGTATCTCTAGTTCTTTTAGGTTCTCGAAACTGTGAGTGAAGGCTTAAGAAAAATTTACAAGCAGAAGTTGCATCCATTAGAGGAGCATTACAAGTTCCATGAGTTCCATAGCCCCGCTCTAGGTTCGTTAGCATAGACAGCATCTGATTAATAATACAATTTAAGATGACCCTGACTTCGATGCTAAGCCTATGATTCTTCTTGTCGGACAATATTCTACGGGAAAAACTACATTTATTCGTTTCTTATTGGAGAAGGTATTTTAATCATATTCTTGTGACAAATTATGGTTTACTTGATAGGATTTCCCTGGCATCAGAATCGGTCCTGAACCAACAACAGATAGGTTCATTGCTGTTATGCACGGAGATGAGGAAGGTGTGATTCCTGGTAATGCTTTAGTTGTAGATGCTAAAAAACAATTCAGAGCTTTAAGCGGGTATGTTTATAATAAAGTTAACTAGTCTCATTTTCGCTAATTTAGGTTTGGTAACGCTTTCCTCAACCGTTTCCAATGCTCTACTTTACCCAATCAAGTGTTGGAGAGTGTGACGATCGTTGATACCCCAGGAATTCTATCAGGAGAGAAACAAAGGTATACACAGTTTTTCTGTTTCTAAATAGTTATTGAATCTGAGAGTTAAGTACTGAAGAATCAACTTTTTCAAGGACTTTGAGAAAAGGGTATTCTGTGAGAGCATACTAACTTCTAACTTCGGCGCTTGTTTTCTTAGCTTTCTAAATTGATTCAGTTGCGAAAAAAGATGTCTTATGCTTAATGCTAACAGTTAATTTTGTTAAAGAATCGATCGAGGCTATGATTTCACTGGTGTTCTGGAGTGGTTTGCTGAACGTGTCGATAGAATCATTTTACTCTTCGACGCTCACAAACTCGATATTTCTGACGAGTTCAAAAGATGCATTGAAGCCCTCTCAGGTACATTCATCTTTGATAAGCATAACAAGACAGAGACTTTTCAGGAAACGAAGATAAAATCCGTATCGTTCTTAATAAATCTGACATGGTTGATCATCAACAGTTAATGAGAGTTTATGGAGCTCTTATGTGGTCACTCGGAAAAGTACTTAGTTTGCTCTTTCTTTTTCATGTTATGTTGTTTTTTAAGGTCTTCCGCACTCCGGAAGTTGCTCGTGTGTATATTGGATCTTTCTGGGATCAACCACTTCATTATGATATTAACAGGTATCTATTTTTCTCATTATCATGACATAGTTATTTAGACGTCTATTCCAAGACGAACAACAAGACTTGTTCCAAGACCTGCAGGCACTTCCAAGAAATGCAGCTCTTAGAAAACTCAACGATCTTATTAAGAGAGCTCGTCTTGCTAAGGTGAGTTTTCATTTATTTCGAAAGAAACTCTCTATGTGGACAACCTGATTAGACACTCTGTTCACAGTATGATTCATAACAAAACAGAGACCTTGCATTGCATACAAACAGCGTTCAAAACGGTTGCATTCCAAATAACTGTTCAGAACGGTTGCATTCGAAACTACTACTAATAACATCTGTACTAAGTGTGAACGTGTCGGTTAACATGGATTCTTCCAGGTTCACGCTTATATCATTGCTGAACTACGCAAGCAAATGCCATCTATGATAGGAAAAGAGAAAAAGAAGAAAGAATTGATTCAGAATCTGGACAAAATTTTCGATCAGTTACAGGTATGTTGTCAAAACAATAAGGTTCTATAGTTATTTCCCAGCGAGAGCATAACATATCTCCCGGAGATTTCCCAGACGTTAATAAGATGAGAGAGAAGCTCCAAAACCAGGACTTCACAAAATTCAATCCAATCAAGCCTAAGCTTCTCGAAGTAGTCGACGGCATGCTCGCATCTGATATCGGTAAATTTGATTGGTTGAACAAACTCAGAGAATTTGTTGTAGCTCGTTTGATGGCTCAAATACCTAAGGAGGAGCAAGCTATGAATGTCAGTAATGGTATCACAGAGCAACCATCTGTGAAAGGAGGCGCCTTCAGCAATGCCCAAGAAACTGAAACTCCATTCGGTTTCGGAAAGGTAAAACATTGACATTTTGAATAATATTAATCTTCATCTCATTCACTTTTAGTACAACGCTAACTGGGTAGGTTAAATATTGATATTGAAAGAGTTACCTATTTCGCTTCGTAATGTTTGAAAAATCAAAGCCTTGTTCATTGTGAAAAGCTAATACCTGAGTTTTGTTAATGTTAATGCTTTCCTTCCTATATGTCCATTCACAAAACACGTGAACATATTGTCAACCTCCCATCACATGATCATTCCCTCTGTTTCTCAATCTTCAACACTAATTATTATCTTTCAGGGTGAAGGATTTGACAAAGGTGCCGATGAGAACGAATGGGTCGTTAACAGAGAGCGTAACTCTGCAGACAGCACTTTCAACAGCCTGGGACCAGTCAATGGATATCTTTCAGGTATTTCCAAACATTTAAACGTCAAATTTTAATCACTTCTATAGGACGTGTGGCCAAGGAACACATGGTTAAATCGAAACTTCCTAACGCCGTTCTTGGCAAAATTTGGAAGCTCGCCGATGTTGATAAGGACGGTCAGCTGGATAATGATGAATTTGCACTTGCCAATTATTTGATCAATTTGAAACTGGAAGGACATGAACTACCAAACGAATTGCCTGGGCATCTTATTCCTCCCAGTAAACGAAACGCTGATGCTGTCTACCCAACACTCGATGACGAATGATTAATGTAGGTACGCATGTGTCCAGATTGTACTCCAAACGACATGATTGTTTCACTTTATTCACCATGTTTCCGGTTGACGTTTCTATATTCTCGATATCCACCTTTGTAGTAATCTATATTACTTAGGAAACTGCTTTGCGTCCTCTTTGGCAACGTTTGTATGTAGTAGCATAAGGCTTGTACTCTGCTACGCTTTTTTAATTAATTTGATGCGTTGTTTGATTTTATGCTAAGCGCATAATATATAATTTCAAAATATTTGCAGAACATGATGCTTCTGTTTGTGATAAGTAATCGGAAACTGATCGATTTAGTACATATAGAGCTGTTTTATGTTTTCTTTAGTAATTTATTGTTGGAACGGTTTAATAAAGTTTTTTTGAGCTTTGGTTCTCTTTTCAATCCTGTTGGTTCAGTCTTCTATTGGAACTTCTACTGAACGGAAGAGGGTAGGTGGTGTTGGTAGTGCGTATCGAAGACATATGACACATGGTCACAATGGGTTGACCGATCTCTCAACAAGAGGAGGAAACTATACTCATGTCTATGAAACTCTTGTTGATCTCCGGATCTGCTTGGAACGCTTGCACTATAGCCATCTCTGGAATACAAGAGGCAAATCGCTAAACTACAAATACGTACAACCGGATTATAATCAAATTAACCTTTGGCGCTTTTTACCAGCTTTCGCCGCCTTGTTAATTTGCTGAAAACGACAGAAATTTTCTTCAAACTTACATGATGCAATCGTTTATGGTTTTTGCTTCATTTAAAAATATTTTCCTCATGAATGATTTGTTACTACAGAAGAAGCGAATGTTACATGTTGACATTACTATTTGATTTTGGTTGACCGGAAAAGGGTGGGTAGAAGCACATGATGTAAAACCATGTGTGAAAGGCTTTCGTCTTTTCTATCAGCTAAAGTGATAAGGCAGATCACAGAAGAGTCTCCTTGTTGGCAGTATAGTGTATACTGTAGTGAACCATTATGAGAAACCATGATAATGAAATACATTTGAACAGCTGAAGCAAAGTTTCATAGCCCGTAAGTGATTGTGACTTTGGGTAAATAAAAGGTTTTGCAAACCTGCATCTGTAGAGTTGCTTTGTTGACTACACAATCAACACTTGTGCTCATCTCATGCTTCAAAGTGAGAAAGCATCTGAACACCACGTTCAAAATGTTAACTCAGTAGTTTCTTATCACTATTACAGTATAGAATGGAACATGAACTGTATTGAGGTAAAACATAATTGGGGTATATGATAAGAGGTAGAAACTGAGGTTTTCGGCTGATAAGTTTAAGCTGCTTTTGCATATTTTTGGAAAAAAAGAAGAAATCGTAATAAATGACTAATTGAAACTTTTCTGATGCAATACTAAACCATTTAATAAACTTATGGTATGATCGGTAAGACTATCACTTCTCTTTCTTGAACGACATTGGCAAGAAAACTCGGAAAAGATGGAGATCGTAAACCAGGTAATAAAGTACCGAAGAGAACAATGGGTGAACAAGGAACTGTTCGTTTACGGCTTTTTTTCAAATTCTCACATAATTGTTATAATATGTTGGAATCCCAATAACTTCCATTAATCATTTGTTCGAAATAACTTTCAGTTCGGACAGTTTCTCAGAGTTGTTAGGCTGATGATTCAGTTAGGCTCAGTGAACACTGTAAGAAATGTCTTTCAGTTATTCCAACTTCTAAGTAGTTTGAGAGATGATGTAACAGATCATTCATCTATATAATGCATCGATCTATCCTTTTCAGCCATGTGTATAGAACGAAAGTTAAAAAGTACCTTCTGGAACTAAGCCTCACTATTGGAAGCGGGATTTTGAAGGCCTTCTTTCTCTGTTGTAATAGTCACGGCTACCCTGATGTAACTCATGTTGAATAAGTTTTTGCTAAACTTTAAGCTTTAAACCATCCAACCAGAAAATGAAAACATACTTCTACAGAATACTTGTTGTAGGAAAATCAATCAACTTTTCCCTAATGATCAGATTTTGAGTGATTTTTTTCTTTGTTTAACGAAAAGTGTATGAATCAGATGACCAAACACAAAAATGCTCTTTGAGAAGCTTGATGTTTTGGTGTTTTCGTTCCATCAAGCTCAAAGGACTGTATTCAAAGATCACTCACATGCATGACGTCGCATACGAGAATTATCGCAAAACCCCAGACAGTTCTGAAGAGATTCATTCACGTGATGTACACCAGCTAAGTGCTGAACTGTCAGAAAGATTAATGAAGACAGTTGACTTATATTATCAAAGATAATATCTATTTATATCCACCCGAATGATATCAAATGTTTATTTTCTCCTACTGTTCAAGAGTCGGGTAAGGACACTGCCACTCAACGGGTCTATGCCACCACCCAATTCACGCTACCACCTGGTAATAGGAGAAATTTGAAAATTAAATTGAACTACTAACTGAGTTGAAACAATAGTTGGCCCGCGTGATCATTCGCATACTATGGATGAAAGGATATAAATGAGAGTGTAAATGAGTGAAGAAAGGGAAAAATGAAAAAGCGGAAAGGATAGAGCAAAAAAGAGAAATTGTATGTGTATATATGTGACCACATGATCTGCAAACTCCATCTGTTTCCAAGATCTTCTTTGTATTTGCTGAATCATTTGAAAAAAAATCTTTAAAAGTAGGGAATCCCCATGAGTTATCGAGGAATCTGCTTCCGTTTGTCTTTGTACTTTACTTTGGTTTTTAATCCTTTACTTTATCCATTGATATACACACAGCTATTAGTTAAGCAATCAAGAGAGAGTTGAAAGGTCGAGATGGATTATTGAAGCCTGAAGGCTCAAAATCAAATAAAAATCAAATTTAAGTATGTTAGCAAAGTCAGAGAGAGTGTGTTGAGAAACTGTTTTTTGAAACACGTTGCACATGAGTTGCTTCGTATAATGGAGGGAAGATGTGTTGGTGAGTAACAAGAGTAAGTAAACAGCTTCAAGTCTGTGTTAAGCCTGCAGGAGTTGAGTTCAAAGATGGCATGAATTGCATGGAAAAGGAAGCAGAAGAAGACAATCCTTCATAATCAACTTCAGACCTCCGTTAAAGTCCTTTTTTTGGTCAATTTTCCCATTCATCTTCTGTCATGTACATGTTCATGTAGATTTCATTTACAGAAGCAATCATCTTCTCTCTCATCATATCTCTATCTGCATTCACCTCTCTCTCTCTCTTTGTTTTGTACCATTCCATCACATTTCTCTCCCTTCTCTTTATTTTCTGATCGTTCTCTTCATTTGTCTTTCTATTTCTCTCGGCTTGGCTGATGCAATCGTCTAAGCAATATGTGTCATTTCATGTCTCCGCCCATCCAAATGTGGTATATAGAAAAGAGCAAGACATAGTATCTCATCAGTTTTCCAGCTTCACCTTTTCCTCTTCTTCAATTTACCATACCATATACTCTATTCTCATCTACGTCTACATATGATCTCTTTGAATTCTGCCCGTCGCATTGTAGCCCACATATTAGACTTTCTTTGAGCTCTCATAATGAGCTTGTGTTAGCTTCTCGTCCTATAAGGACATGTTCTAATTGAAGTTTGCTCGCTGTCGGGCCTCCCTCCCCGAGCAAAGTACAAAACATTTTTCTGGGAAATGTATATATACTTTGAGATCTTGAACAGAAACGAGCTCATCGTAGGCCATACTATCGGTTTTTTTTAAATGTTATTGTAAACTACACGTTAAATACTATTACCACGTGGACATCACGTGGCTTTCACGTGCGCCTTTCATTTCGACTATAAGACAGCGCGGTGAATGGTTGCTAGAAAAACAATCTCGATATATATATATATATATATATATATATATATTACTATATATGTGTATATATATTGTTCATGAATATAAATTTCGTATTCCATCGTCTTTTTGTTGATAAAAGGCTTTTGACTACTAGTCAGCTGCTACTACAGCATGTGGGGAAAGAAAAGGGGGGAATACCCTCAGGGTCTCTGAAGTTGAAACGCCCACTTTTCGCTATAGCTTTTTGGTCTGGAGCTGTCCACTCCGTCCTTGCAGAGAGACATTTTCTTTAATGCTTGTTTCGTTCCTCTTTTTTTTTCTTTCAAACTCTTTTTCGTATAGATGATCTTTGTTCCAAATGTTGTACGAATGGGAGGAGAAATGTATGAATGAGGGTATTTCCCCCAACAGCTCCATCTCTTCTATTTTTTTTTTCATACGGATAATCGTTCAGCTTCGTTGTTCTGTTGTTTGACTTGCCAAAGCTTACTGGCTTTAGCTAGATGCTGGTTATGACGTCAATTCAGTATTTTTTGTCATTTCTCATTCTGCTCCTGTTTTGTATTGTCGTCGCACTTTTGTTGTGCAGAGTGTTTCCGCTTATCCTCAACTTTAATATTAATTTTTCAGTTTTTATCTCACTAGTTCAATTGAAATATCTATCAACGCACTACAAATATGCATTATCGTGATTTCTCTTATGAAGAAGAAGAACCATCCTTATGGATTTTCGGGTATGGAAGTCTTATTTGGAATCCTGGATTCAATCATGACGGCCAACACAAAGCGTATGCTCGTGGCTTTGCCAGACGTATGTACCAAGGAAACACTTTTCATCGAGGAGACGAACAGCTGGTAAGGATATCTTTCATTCTTCTTTTTTTTTGCATCATTTTGAACTTGGAGAGATCTTCGTCTTATCATTTCTTGCGTCATGAAGTCATTCGATGTTATCAGCCGTTAACCTTCCCCCTCCTCCCGAAAATAAGTTTTTGTCCTTTTCGGGAGATTTTTGTTTTATTTATTTTTCTTCTCATTGTTAATTGTTAGTGGCATTCTTTCGTTTTTGAAACTGATTAAGCAAGCTCCACACAGACAGCTGAGAGAACATGAGAGAAAGAAAGAGAAACAGAGAAAGAAAGAGAATGCAAATGGAAATAATCCGTCTCGTGTCCACTAGTTTCCATCAATAAGCTGGAAGCCATGCTTATAACTACTACTGGTCACTTGTTATTCTTTCGCCTTTCTATTCATAGTAACATGAAGAGAACACTCACGAGTTTCATTCATTGCAAGTAGTTTTCATATTAATTTCTCGCCAATAGTCGTCTTGTGAAGCTTTCCCCTGCCACTCCCATCCGCACCAAGTAACTATAAACTGAAAGTCTATCGACAGCATAGTTTGAATGAAAGATATAGCATGATATGATATGATGCTAGAAGATCTCTCCCAAAACCGGCTTATAACAAGCTTAATGAAGTTATTGATGACGTTTATCAGCTTTCTATTGCAAAGTTGTACGAGAGTTAGCAACGAAAACTTGATTTGTTTGTTTCAGCCTGGACGTGTTGCAACCTTAATCGAGCATCCTTCGGCCTATGCCAGTGGTGTAGTTTTTCGTGTTGACGGAGTCACCGGAATATCCAAAGCTGTAGCGCATTTGAAGGAACGAGAGGTTTGTTTATTTTTCTTTTTTTTAATTGTTTGGGAAATATAATAATGAAAAACAAAGCAATAATAATAATCATGAAGGTCTTATTCATGTTTTCACTTTCAGCTTGACAATGGTTATGAGTTCCGTATGGTCCCTGTTGATATAGTGTTCGACTCTGATGATGAAGATACTGTTAATATCATGGCCCTGACTTGCATTGCCCGAAGAGACAATCAGTTCTATCTTGGACCCGATAATGTTACGAAAATGGCCAAAGAAATTTGCATAGCCAAAGGACGAGCTGGACCAAATCACGAATACGTTCTGAAATTGGCAGAACATGTGCGCCGTCTGTTTCCTGAAGAGGAAGATGATCACTTGTTTGAATTGGAATCCTTAATTCGCACAACATCATCATAAATATTCTCCGTATCGGAGATTCTATTGTAATGAAAGCTCCTATCTTAAGAGTTTTATTGACCAACTTTGGCAATATGCCAGTTGGTGAAGCCTAGCTTTAGATTTGTACAGAAACCATTGTATATACAATATGTGATTGATCTTCTCCCTTTCTAGGCAATGCCTTACCTGAACTCTTTCATTTTTCTTTCTTCTTTCCCTCCTGCCTGTTCTTCTCTGAGAGAAGTAAGGAGATCTTTTCCTAGATTCAATGTTAGATACCAATTACGGAACCAAAAAACGCAAAGCATTAAACGAATCCATGGGTCATCCATTTCTATCTAACGTGTATGTGTATATACTTTACCTTATAAAGCTTTCAATTTGAAACTTGGTTGATTATATGTATTACATTAAAGCTTATAAGGATCAAAAAATATTTTAATTCATAGCTTCGCTTACAAAGAATTCATGAATAATCTCAACTTGATTTGCATAGGAAATGAAAATTCCATGTGGGCATGACCTTTATTTCATTAAAGCTATATAAGGAGATTCTCGGCTCGTCATGAATGATGAAGCATTCCAATCCAACTCTTTCAAACTTCTATCCATCGGCCATATCTATTCGTAGCACTGTGTGAATCCTCTTCCTCCCCCTCCATATCCCTCATTTCAACTACATTTTCCAGTTTTTTCATCAAGAACCAAAAAAAAATGAGACGAATGTCTCCAAATATGGACGAAGACAGATAAGAAGAAGAGAAACTCTAAATGAAGTCAACCTATCGTTGTGATGAGAAGTCTTCAGAGAATCGACAGCTTGTCATATTTCCTTCTCAGAATAATCCTTTCTTTCATGTTTTTCCCTCCCTAAACTCCCAAAAAGGATAAAATATTATTAGAGTAAGACAATTCGATTGAGCAAATGATGCAATTCCATTTGTTTCATGAACCTTGTTCGTTCTCTGCTTCTCTCTCTCCCTCTCTCTTGCTTTACCAGCAAGATTGTCTTGGATTGTCTTTCTTATCTGATATCTACCTGATTGTTCACGTGCTGGACATAACAGCAGTAGCAGCAGCAGGAGCAGCAGCAAAACGAGTGAGACTTGATTGATGCAGTTAAAGGGTGGAGACACGGAGCTCCCATTCCAAAGCAGTTTCCTCAAAAGTTTATTACAGCAATTGGAACATTTGCTTTTCAACAGTTGTTTCTATTTCTCCATTTTTTGTTTGATCTAGTTTGTTTTAAACAGAAAATCGTTTAAAGCTTAATTGAAGCAGCTTTCACGTGAGAAGAGAGACTCAAGTACTTCGTCGTTTGGACAAATTTTTTTAACTTGTACTTTGTTATTTGAGTGACAAAAAAGTTTTTCTTCTTCCATAACTTTATTTGTCAGCTTAAAAAATATTTGTTTCTTTCGTTCTCTTGTCGTGGTCGTGGTCGTCGTCGTCGTCTTCTGTGAGTCCGAGATGTTTGTATGCTTAGAAACTAAGTAACCAACTTCTTTCATTCTTGAAATAAAATAAAAACCATTGGAGCAAGTGGTTTTTTTATTCTTTTTCTTTTCTGTCCATTTTCTCGTGAAACAATCGTATGGATTCTCTTGCACGGAAGCTATCCATTTCCTAATGAAGTTATTGCTTTGCCGAGATAATAGCCAACTTAGGGCTATCTTTGCTCATTTTTCTCATTCTCCTTCCCAGTTCTGACTCTTCTGCACCCACCACTCTCCCCCCCCTTTCCTCCTACGTTCCTTTTCTAGATTTCTCTCTATATTTTTCTCTCTCCGTACTCCTCTCTCTCTCAGTAATATTTCTCTCTCAATCTCTCCTCTTATTTAAACCTTTCCCATAAACTTTTTTATCTCTAAATGCTTCTTCTTCCCCCATCTTCTTCCGTTTTCAATCAAATGACCACTGAGAACGACAAGCTCTGCTATAAAAAGGCGTCAAGCACACAGCCATGAACATCAAATTTTTACTTCTTGTTGTCCAAAACGGAAGTGAAAGAGAATATGCAGCTTCCGAAGACCCAGCTGTAATCATTTGAATTTTACTATCCTTCTATCGTCTGTGTATTTTGGCAATTAAGCTCAACTTATAAGTATTGCCTTTCTAGTTTTCATCTCAAAGCTTTGAAACATGTAACCTTCTCCTCCCTCCCCCTGCTCTTGTAATGTTGCTCGCTTCGAAGTTAGACTGACTAGGATGACCGCAAGCTTATGGCCATCTCTCTGCACTAAAAACAAAGACGTTCGTATGCCTTGAAGATTTCTTATTACTTCCTACAACTAGTTTAAAATCTTACTGCGTCTGTTTCTCTTTTTTTAATAATTCTTTCGTCTTCGTTCACGCATTAGAATGGTCTGGCCGTTTGGCATCTTCTTCCCACCGTGTTGTCAATCGTATATTCTCACAGCCGGAGCTACAAGTTTTGCTCCGTCTTATTCAACTTGTTTTGAAACGAGACGTTTCACTTCGTATCTTATTTATCATCTTAATTAGCATTCAAAAGAAACATCACAGAACAAGAAGTAAATCTTAGATGAGCCTGCTGACTCCTTTTAGGGCAACGCTAGTGCCCAACTGTTTAGATCTCAATGATTCTTCTATTTTTCTTCTTTTCAGTATTAGTTGATTTCTCTCCCTGCCTTTTCAACTCCCTCTCTTCTTTTTATTTCCTGTCTATCTCTCCCACATGCCTCTCAAATTCTTTTCTCCTCCTTCTTTCTCCCGCCGTGACTCTTCAGAATACTCTCTCTGAGTTAAAACGCTTCAAACTTCCCATTGCTTTCAATATAGAATTATAAAAAACTTTTTATATGATCTGTCTGAACCTACAACTTTCTCAGATTTTTCATGATCGACCTCAGAACAAGCAGGCTCCGCCCTCTGAGTATCTTTCACTCTCAGTTGGTTATACCTTGGACCTCGAAGAACTCTCATCTCAAAAGTACAAACCTCTTTTTTGAAACCATAGTTTCATTTCTTATTTTGTTTTTCCTCGTTGAAGATTAAAGTACACAACTGACTGTTTCTTTCCATAATTACACTTGTTCATATCTAACCCCCCCCCTTCCTCATCTTCTTCTCCTCCCTTTCCTCCTTCTCCTCCCTCCTAAGCGTATTTTTTCTTTTTTATTTATTTCATCAACTGATCACATAATCCTTTGCGAGACAGCCATCAATCTCCTCTGATTTTTCATGCCTATTCGTTGAAAAAGTTAGTTGAGAATGCCTTGCCTCCTACTCCTCCTCTTTCCCCACTCTCTCTTCAGAACGATTAGTTCGAAACTTTACATTTTCTTCTTCTTCTAATTAATTCGTCTCTTTTCATTGCAAATTCCTTTATTTCAAACTTCTACAGAATAAATTTACATTATTTTAAACTCAATTTTAAGTTTCCACGGAAAAAACAGTAGATGGAAGTACACGAAGTACCTCCACCACCTCTTAAATCCAGTGATTTGATTAACACAGCACTACCGTATGCTTTCCTCTTTCTTGTCGGGACCATCGGCAATACAGCAGTTCTTAGCTATGTTTTTTTCATCACCAGGTTAGTTCCGTTTTCTTTTTTGGGTTGCAAATACTTGAACTCTATAGCTGCAGTCAGTGAACTAAGCCCCAAAACATTCTTCCATTCACAAAAAATTAATTTGAAGACTCATAAAAAATAAAATTAGTAAAATGAAATATCTTAGTCGATAAATCTCCCTCTCAATAACTCCAATTTACACCTAAAGTACGAATAGAGAGAGAGTGAGAGCGAGAGAGGGAAATGCTAGCTTATATGATCTATGGAAACAGCTATCCCGGTGCTGTTCCGAGAATAGAAGGGGGCTTTTAAAGAGCTCGAGTGAGTGATAAGAAATTCTCTGGAATGGAGAAGCAATCATCTCAGTCCTGAGAAATTTTTTCATTTCCAACAGTAGGAAGGAAAACACATGAATTAGTCGAAAAACAATATTTCTCGCTTCCTATATGTACTGGTGCTGTTCAGATCTCTGCGTTCATCCATCTCAGCCTTGGGAAACACTTTCATCTACATAGTATCGTTATCAGCCGTTGATTTACTGGTCACCATTTCCATTCCTTTCACACTTTCTTCCCTGATTCTCAACAATTGGGTATTCGGAGAATTGGGATGTAAAATCCATTGGGCAGTTGAGCTGTCCAACAAGGTAAGAAACTTTGATCTCTCTTACCCACTATAAACCAAAACATGTTCTGGCATTTGATGTTTTCAATGAATATGAAAAAAAAACTCATTTGTAGTGTCTCTGCTTGAGACAGCATGTCATTCATTTTCTTCTGTTGCAGCTCTGTTCAACATTCCTTTTAACAGCTTTAGCCTTTGATAGATATATGGCCATATGTCATCCAGAGAATAAGAGGGTTTGTTTATTTCCTTAATTGAGCATTCAAATATGCAATTATTATGATCGAATTGCAATAGTACCATAGCAAAACAATATGAAGAGCGTGTGAACGTGAAAGTATACTCAAGTTTGCAGATTCATCATATGAGGCAGACAGCTCTTATAACATCATTGTTAGCTTTGTTATCATTCTGCTTGATACTCCCAATCATATTTACTTCTACAGTACGTAAGACTCCTTCTAAGGATAGTGTATATTACCATAAGAATGTGAGTTTGCTGTTCTTTGAACAAGCTATAACCCTAATGCCTCGTCTTCAGGTTAAGATGGATGTGTATCGGCATATGTGTGTAGACGGGCTTAGAACAGAGGGCAAAGTAAGCGCTCTGCTGTCTAAAAAAAGCGAAAACGTTCTTCATAACTGTATTCTTTTAGGTTCTCGTCTCAATCTTTCTAATCTTATTCGCCTTTGTTATGCCTTGCACCTTGATGACGTTCTTTTATGCAAAAATCATCCTTCGTCTTCGAAAACAACAACGGTTTGTTACATTTTCCATTTTTTCGGTGTAGGCAACTGATATCTATTCGAATGCAACCGCTCAAAATAAAGCTTTAAATGAAGAATGGAGCAGACACGGGCAATCTGTTCACGTTTCACGTGGAAGTTCCACGTATTCAAATTAGCTCTAATCTCATGAAAGATTCAACTACAACATTAAAAACAAATTGAAAACATAATAAAATGGAAATGAAAACATTTTTTTGCAGACGAATGATGCAATCGAGAATTCCAATAAGACGTATAACCATTTATACGATGGTTGTGACGTTTTTCCATTTATCATGCCAAATACCATTTTGGTTGCCACAAGTTTATGCTGTTGTCATAATGGTCTTCAAATTGCCGGGAAATAATTCATATTTAACTTTTTTAGTAAACTATTCAGACATAATCTGCATAAATTAAATATATTTTCAGTATTATTCACATCTCTTACCATTTGTATCGGCAGCCTTCAATTGGATCTTCTATGCTCGCCTCAATAGTCAATTCAAGAAAGGATTAGTTCTTGTAACAGAGCGCATGATTCGCAAGCGGACAAGGTTTCCTACTACTTCATTTATCAATAAGCACACTGGAAATCCATTAACAGATCGATTCAACAAAATGGAATAACGTCAACTAACAATCGAGAAACTATAGATGAGATGGCACTGGATCTCATGGTATCTTCACCCAATGAGCTAACTACGTGTCCTAACTGCGATGTAAGTTACCCAATTGAAAACGTCCTCATCTTCTCATTTCATCAGGCTCCACTCACAACAAAGACTCAGAAGAAATCAGTTGCAAATTCAACATGAAGCCAAACACAAGATGATTGGTTGAAACGGGTGTATTGATGCTTCTAATTGACCAAATAGGTTGTAAGAGTTTCAAATGAAAAGTAGTTGGAAGAAGAGGAAAAGATGACTCATTTGCATTCAATCTTCACTTTGCTTATCCCAAAAGTAAAAATAGTTTTGAGATGGAGGAAAGTAAAGATTGAACGAAATGTTCCACAGAGCCACTTATGCAATGAAAGTCTTATATGCTCCTTCTATATGAATCATTATGTTTTTGTTTGAATCATTTTATAAATATATATTTATATATATATAAAGCTGCTTTTCCCTTTCTGACTGACAATGGATTACTGTACGTCCAGATGATAACTGCTATGTCTCTTCTAGACGGGAGTTCATACAGTTCAAACAAGAGCGGTCTACTTGCAAGAACAAAGAAAAGAAATTAACGATTCTACTTAAAATCTTCAACGCAACAGTTACTCTTCTAAGCTTTGCTTCTCTGATTCCATATGAAAAAATCTTAATTGCTATTTCTTTCTTGAGCAATTTTCCGTAACAGGAAGGTCACAGAACATTAGAGGTCGTTTCCCCAACTCCATGACCGGTCGACTATTTCTCAGTAGTTTCAACACTTAAGGGTTGAAAAAAGAAGCTTAATTATCTTCTTTATTGTTTTCAATTATTCATCAGATGACAGAAGCTAGAGACAACCCCGACTTTTGAAATGTTTCCAACCGTCTCACACTTCCTTCTTCAACATACATACACGCACATATACAGACATAGACATCCATCTAGCCAAGACACACACACACACACACATACACATTCTCCATTTCAACAAAAGATTATTTTATTGAACTTTTGATGGATGGTTCTCTCATAAGTACCGAGAGTACCGTTCTTTAGAACTTTTTTGGTGTCTGAAACTTCTCTAACATGGCGAATCTTTTTTTTTCTTTTGAAGAAATCAAGAAATCACTGAAGTTCTTCAAACAACGCAAGATGGGATGAGAAGCTAAAACAGACAGTTGAGTGTGAACGAGATGATTTTATTATTCTATGTTAAGTCACAACCTTGACGTCTTCTTTCAATTTTTCATGTTTTCAGCATTTTCTATACAACGTCGGGTAGGTAAAGACGATTTTCAGATTTTTATGTCTTTTTTCTTTTCGCATGGGGCTATGACCTCTATGATTTGATTGAAGTTTAAAAATGGCAAAGAACGTGTTCAAATGAGTTTCTTTTAAGCACAAAAATATTTTACCGCTTCATTCATTGTTTAATAAAATATTTCTGAGAGTTTTGATTCCGCTGTAAGAACATCTCGCTTTCAATGAGCTGCGGTTTCAGTACTGATGTTTGAGACGCTTTGTGGGAGAGGGGGGAAGAATCGCACAGATGAAACATTCTTCAAAAGACTATGAAGCGCAAAATGGAAGAACAACCGAACTAAGATCAGTGGAGGAGATTCAAAGGAACAGAGAGAGAATGAGAAGGAGCAAAGAGCTCATCGGCCGTCAACAACAAAAAAAAAGAATTGAAAATAATATTTTTAGAAGAATTTTAAAAAAGAATTGGATCATCGTAAAACAACTAAATGATCAGTTGACATGATAGTGTTGATGAATCAGATGATTGTCTTATTAGACAAATGGACGTCGGAAGTCATTCGAAAACAATCTTCTATTCTTAGATTTTTTACGTATTTTTAATTGACCGCAACTTTTCATGGGGTGACGATGTATGCTGGGAGGATGATGATCGGAAGATGATGAATCATTCGCATAACATCAGCTAGGGAGGGTCTTTGGGACCAAAAATAACAAAAACATATGCAACAGCTTATGAGAGATTTTATTTCTGTGTACTTGATAGGATGAAATGGCAGAACTCAGAACAAGGCAGAACCAGTTCGTTAGTAGAAAGTATGAAATCCTGATGACCGAGTACGACCGGTCAAAAATGGGAGAAGCGTTTAGAGTTCATTCCAGTTATAAGAAATGGGTGGGGGAAACCCATGCATCCACATTACACGTGATTCTCTATTAGTTTCATGATAAAAAAGATTCGACAACATCATCTCAAACGTAAGGGGTTGGACTTCCGACTCCAATTAAACAACCTTTCAGGACGCTTGTAGGATACGAAGGTATATATAAGAAGTCTTTGATTGTAATCATCCATTTTCATCTCTCTTTGCCTCTACAGCTTCTCATAAATAACTTCAACCTCCGACCTATTTTAATCTTACTTTCATCTTAATAGCTCCGTTTACCTTATTCGATCTCTTAACCTCCCTTCCTCCTTTCTAGTTCTCTTCTGAAAGTGAACCAACCACATTGACCAAAGTATGATTTGAGCGAAGTTTAAAAAGATCACTTGTATAACTCATTGGGAAAACATTAATATCCTTCCATTACCGTGTTGATAGCATATGAATGCACTTCTTTGTCTTTCAAACAAGACTTTACACTTTCTCTTCCTCTCGTAACCACCTTTCACTCTCTGCTGGTTCCTTTAAAAAGATGATTGCCCCTCCCACACCTCGTTAGTTCCCAACCGTTTTATGAGAATTACTCTCCGCCCCTTCTTAGCTCAATTGTATATTTAGATGAACTAACTTGATGAAATTTCAAAAAAAAAACTTTTTTGAAGAATAACCTCCAATCAGCTGTGTGCCAAAGCACACTGCTCATTGAATCGTCTTTTGAATATACATACTTCAGCTCAACACTGTCACTCTTCCTCAGCTGCTTTTCATTTGTGATTTTTAAATTTCAGAAAAATGCTCGATACTATCGTCACTTATGCGCCCAACTGGACATCAGACTTCACATGGCTCTTAGTCGTGGCTTTCATCTTTGCTTTCTGGGTTTCTTATGGTATGGGAGCTAATGACTCCTGTAACGATTGGGGTCCAGCTGTTGGAGCTGGTACTGTGAAGTTATGGCAAGCTTACGTTCTTTGCGGAATCTTCAACACCCTCGGAGCTGTTTTACTTGGTTAGTGATGTTTTGAGTATTATATTATAATTCCTCGGTAATTCTACTGCAACATTGATTTCTGATCAGATTGATTCTCGATCCTTTTGAAACACCTGCTGACATGAAGAAGATTTTTCCCTATGATCATCATTATTAATATGATAATCACATGAATACGAGATAATAACTGAACTCTCGACAAGAGAATAGACGAGAAATGTATGAATGCAACCTCTCTGTACCGTTTTCAGCGTTGAAATGACGAGATACGTTGAACTATGCTAATGAGCTTCACGTGAATGCTCGAAGTTTGTACTTAAGTTAGCTTGTTCTTATTCAATGGTTCCACTCCACATTCTTCTTAGAAAAACTAGATCAAAATTCCTTGAATAGTAAAATAGAAAAAACGCTCCGTTTGTCTATACCTACAGTCCTTTGCTTGTGTTTCTTCTATTCTCGCCCTACAACCAACATAACAACAAAACGATGCGCTCTCTCAATGACCGGTCGATTTAGCGGTTCGCACGTTTTCTACTCGTTCGAATCTACCCTCTAGCAATTAGTTTGACTTAAAATTACTGTAGGATACGATAGTATCGTAGTTAAATCATAAAAAAATATTGACCATCGTTAAGCTGCTATCTACTGAACACTTGTTCCAGGTTACAAAGTAACTGAGACGTTGCGTTCCGGAATTGTTGACCCAAGTATTTTCGATGTCTATGCCGCATACAACCATTCTACAAACAGTTACCAAGTTGTGGATCACTGTGGTAACGCTACACTAACTGGTAAGCTATCAAGGCGATTTTCGAGTTAAAAAATTCATTCCAGCTGGATATCGTCCTCCAGCAATCAGTAATGACACCGTACCTGTGGAGTGCGCCAAATACACTTCGGCTGATTTTATAGTTGGACAGGTAAATATTGAAATCCTTTTTGGAGTGTAAGTCTAACAGGTGCGAATTGAAGACTGGTGCTATGTGCGGAGTTGCAGCTTTCATGGTTGTGTCATCAATTTATAAAATCCCAGTATCTGCCACACATGCCATCGTCGGAGGTTCCTTGGCTGCTTCTCTTTACCTCAGAGGCAACGTTGGTATCAACTGGTCAGAGGTCATCAATATAGGTTCGAATTAAAAAAAAACTGATCTCCTAATGTGTTTTTTATTTCAGTGATCTCCTGGTTCGTTTCTCCAGTTATTGCTGGAATCATCTCTGCTGCCTTCTATATTGCTGTCAAGTTCACTGTACTCATTCGTCCAGATACTTTCAAGGCTGCTCTCCACGCTTGTCCAGTATTTATGATGATCACTTTAACCATCAACCTTTATGCCTGTATCTTTGATGGATCTAAATGTAATTATCCCATAACGGAGAACGCGAAACTGAACCAAAAATATTTTAAGATCTCGGATTTGATAAGCTTAACTCATGGCAAGCATTCTTAGTTTCCTTAGGTGCTGGAGTTCTTGGTTGGATCGTTCTTACCTTCCCTCTCAAAGTAACTATTAAAAATTATTATTTTTTTTAACAAGTCCTTTTTTAGAACTGGTTGAAAAACCGTGCCAACCGCTTGTTCAATGAAGAGCAACGCAAGGAACAGATAAGACTCGAGAAGGGTATCGTAAGTAAGTGTTCACTTTCTAAATGTTTCACTTCGCTCGGTACGCAGACGGTAGCTTATTTATCTATTCCAGAAGAGAAGCAATCAAAGAAAGTCACAGACATGAGAACACCAGATGTCGATTTGGAAACCGCCAAGAACCTCCCATGGTACAAGTTCTTCTACTGCTCTGTACCAGAAGAACGTTTAACCACAAAGGTACATTGACATTCAAAAGTATTAGAGAAGTAACTATAGAGTTAAAGGTCTTCAATGCTCTTCAAATTGTTTCATCATCTATGCTTTCGTTCACACATGGTGCCAATGATACAGGAAACACAGTTGGACCCCTTCTTGCTGTTTGGTTGTGCTACCAAACCGGATATGCCTTCACCGCTGCTGAAACTAGAGATGACTCTCAAATTCTCTTAGCTTTTGGAGCTATTGCTATGATCTTTGGTTTCGTTACTCTCGGACATCGTACCATCAAGCTCATCGCTAAGGAAATTACTGTAGATATGAGTCCAATTTCTGGCTTCTGCATTGAAGTTGGTACTGCTTTCACCGTACTCGTCTGTGTCAAACTAGGTAATTCAACAGATGATTGAACTTTCTAATTCGATTCTCTATAGGAATCCCTGTTTCATCTACTCACTGCGCTGTTGGAGCTGTATTGTTCGTAGGACTGGCCAAGTCCACAAGCGAAGGAGTGTCGTTCGCTACCTTCCGGAAAATCGTGATTGTGTGGTTATTGTGCTTCCCTGTTTCTGCCGTAATAGGAGTTGCTACCACAATGGTCCTCATCCGTTTCGTCTAATTACTATCTCATAGTTCTGATTATATTTCGATTTTCAACGTCATTCCTCTGTTTCTTTCTCTCGCTTCCACATCTTCTCACACTAGGCAAACACAACTTGAGATTTCTTATTTGGAATCTCAGAAAAATAGTTTTGTTCCAAAAATCAAAAGAGTTACTAGCTCACCCAAGCAATGACTTCAAGCGACATCAGCTTTCATTACGGTTCTGTTATTCCAGAATTTTTTCTTTGTTGTAAATACAACGAAATCTGTAAAATAATGTTTGTTCGACCCTCAGTTCTTTTCAATCAGCCTTCTCGCATTTAAAAAAAATTTTAAAATTTGCTGTCAATTACACAGCCCCTATATCTTCGCTTTACAAATGTTTTATTTTAAAAACTTCTAATAAAAAATACTTTTAATACTGTTTTTGAATGATGGAAGTTAAGAATGATCTACTTTACGTGAAATTCCACGTAGATCGGTGAATCCGTTTCACGTTGCGTGAAATTTAGTATGATTTCATTGTTCAAGTGAACGCAGCGAAGGACGGTTGATACAGGCCAATGATCTCATTTTCGATCTCGGTCGTTCGAGTGTTGGTTTTCATTAAAGAGGAATATGAAAGTGTTTTATTTTAAATAATCAAGTAGGTTAATGGTTTGCACGGTAAATACAATACTCAGATTCGCATATTGTTCCTTAGCAGAAGCCACAAGTTCTTGGACATTGATCTCTCATCAATGTAATATAAGCAGCATTTCTGCAGAGATTAGCTCTTCGTGCACAGTCCGATGTGCCATTAGCGGCTGTTTTGTCCACACATGTCGTTGTAGCTAAAGTATGTTTGGTTATTTGATGTTTGATCGTATATTTATGAACCTGTAGTGGCTGTTCCAACAGTTGTAGAACCACAGAAACCGCAAGTGCGAGGGCATTGAACTCTCATGAGTGCTATATAGTTGGAATCTGTGCATAAGCCTGTGCGTTGTGGGCAGTCAGAAACTCCAGTTCTTGGATTGATAGCATCGACGCATCCAGTTGAGACAGTTGTGCTCACTGATGAACATCTATTGCAAGTTCTTGGGCATTGAACGGTCATGATATCATAATAAGTTGTGTCGTTACAGAGAGAAGCCCTGGCTGGACAGTCAGAGACTCCTGTAGTAGGGTTACGAAGATCAACACAAGCTGAAACTAGTAAGATAAGATAAACTTGTTGATCAATTTTAACCGGCAGTTGTAGCACTGGAGACAGTTGTAGCAGAAACTGTAGTGGTGACACCTGCGACAGTAGTAGCGGTGGCGTCAGCAACAGTGGTAGCAACGGTGGCTAGAATAATTGCGTAATTAAACTCATGAAAACGTATAATATCCTACTGGTAGTAACTACTGTATCATCAATTAATTGGGAAATAGCACAGCAGTTTTCTCCGTTGGAATCACAAACTTCACCAGCGGTAAGACAAGAACCAATTACACATGCTGTAAGGTAAAACAAGATAGCAAACAGTTCAAAATGTTATAAATTACGGCCATTTCCACCATTGGAACAAAGAAGAGCAGCGGAAGCTGTAGAAGCTAAGAGAAGAATAGAAATGATAGTTTTAGTCATGTTAGTAGATCAAGCTGTGGAAGAAGAAAAGCTTATGGTTTGATAGATTTAGCTATGGCCTTATATAGTCATTATATGGGGGGCTGCAAGTACGATGAGAAACAAAAGGAAACCATTTGAAAAATAGTATAATTGTACAATTTATTTGTTTAAAATCTAAATTTAATAATAAAGAATGAGAGAGTTCATTGAGAGAGAGAGAATCAAAGCGAAAGTCAGAGAATGGACTGACCGAACGAAACGTGAGATGTAACATCAATGTTGATACATGTGTTGTCATATTTGTCCATTTTCATACTCATTTATTTATTTTTTGAAGTTTATTCAAATGAACTTCACTTATTTGGTTAGCTGGTTTTATTTTTTTTTTTGGATTCAGTCCTCTGCTACTTACTTCTTTTTCACTTTGAGGTCAACGGCAAACTCAAACTCATTTGAAGAGAGAGAAAAAGTTGGAGAAAATGCTCGTCTGATCAAACATGAAAACATAAAATGCTCCTCTTTGCCCTGTCTCAACAAATCTCAGAAGTTTCGAATGATTCATCGTGAACACACAATTAAACTCAAAAATTAGGTGAGCGAAGAAGAAATCCTCAAAGTTCAAAAAAAGATTTGTCGTTTGCCGTTTGCCCAACAAGAAGATGAAAATCTGCCAAACAAATGATTTTCACACAGAATGTTTAACCTCTGGAAAGAGTTGATAAGATTTAAGAATTTCCCTTTATTGACTTTTCATCGGAAAGCCTAAAGAAAAAGAGACAGTGAACAGAAAACCTTTTTAATCAAAGATGAGTCATGTAGACAGACGTCTTGTCCAAATAGAGAGACTTCTAGGATTGCTTCAGATGTTGGCAGACAAATTAATTAAAGCATTTGAATGTCTGATTCTCTCTTCTCATCTCAAAAACTCTCAATGAGAGTTTGAGCATCGTAGGAATTCCTTCATCTTTTTTTTTTCATCAACATTAGCCGTTGTCACTTTTTATTTGTAAGAAATTATGTTGCCGTCCGATATTTCTATTTACAAAAACTTACTGGACGATGACGAAGCTCTTCATACATTCTGTCTCCTCTTACTTTACAACTCTCTTTCATTCCAAGTAAATACTGAAATTCTGAGATTAGTGAGCCTTCGATTACTATATAAATGAAGTCACGAATGGCATCTGTACATCCCATCACTCTCAGTCATCATCATGAACTCACTCAAGTAAGTCTTCCTGATCAACTTTCAAACTACATACTCCATTTACAGTATCCTTCTTGTCCTCGCCTGTCTCTTGTGCTCATGCCAAGCCTATTACGTAAGCTACCACCAATCATAGACTTCAAAGCATAATTCAACTTTCAGCTCTATTACTATTACCCAAACAACTACAACAGCAACGGTCAAACAACATACTATTATTATCCAAATAATAATAATAATAATAACGGTTACACCAACTATTACTATTGTAATTCATTTCTTCTTTCATCTTTCATTCATTCTTATCATTTTCAGCTGATCCAGGAACCACAACCTACTACTATCCATCAAACACAGGTAATCATCTGAATTCAGAATATATCGTTATTTCATATGTTTTCAGGAAACAACGGTTATACCTATTACTACTATCCCAGCAGTGGAAGCTCTAGTTATAGTCCATACACCACATATTATTATACTTATGGAAAAAAGTAAAACTGTAATAAACATTTTCAAGTCTCTATCGTTCACCTAACAACTCAAACCAAAGATAAATTGGCAAGTGCTCCAATCTCACATGGAGTACTGTAAGAGATTATGAAAATGATCAATCGATAGTTCTATCTGTTAGGGAAAATCTTAATGTATAGTAGTTGAAGAGTTCTTACTTCCTTTTCTAAGATTGATCTGAACGACACGTGTTTCTTCTAAGCTGCCCTCAGGACACTTCTTGATAAGATTAGAATTTTGTTTTTCTAAAGAAAAAGCTTTTTAACAGTCAAGTTTCACTTGGATCAGTACATCGCCCCAGAAACGCCCTGCACAGAAAGTTCAGAATTTGTCTCTTGTGTGAATGTGTGTTGTATTCATTATCAAATTAACTCATTAGGCTATTAGTTGCATGAAAGTTCGTTTGCTCTCTTCATCTTCTTCATGTCTTCGCGACGCCTTTTTTTCGATCAAAATGTTTCAATCAGATGAGGTTTGGCAATTAGTAATTTAATGGAAATTGTAAGGATCATGTGACTTTTTTATAAGGAAGTTGCATCATATGACTTATTTTTCTACAATTTGGAACATGACCTCTCCTTGCCTCCTTCTCTCTTCCTCTCTAACCTAAATCCTTTCTGTCTCTCTCTATCTCAGTTACACTCGTATATCTTGCTCTCTTACTCTCTAACCGCCGAAATGTCCTTAAAGGAGAAAACAGTCCGTCTGCCATTGGCATTTGACCAACAAAACCAAAAACTTATTGTAGGCCATTGGCATTTATTGATGGTATAAGATAGTTTCATTCTTTACTCTTCACTATTCCATATAAGCTTGCACCCACTCAACTTTGCTCTTTCAAACGACTTTCCATTCTTATCAGGTTAAATCACATTTTGAACTAAATACTGTAATCATCATTTGATCATTTCATTCTAGAAGATTTATGGTCGTAATATAAATTTTATCGGATAAAAGTTCTTTTTTTAGTTCTTCCCCTCTACTCTGCCTGTCTACTGTACTTATAGAAGAGAAGCTGGCAAAGTTAAAATTCACTTTCATTTAACTATTTTGTAATCTTGTCCGTATAGATTTACATTTTCACTTTCGAAATGTCGTCTTACAGTTTTGCTCATGAGCAGATTAGACTCAATGTATGAGCCGTCTATAGCAGGCAATCCAAACAAATTTCTTTTCATCCTCTATTCCTATCTCTTCCGCCTCATGTCTTTCACATGTTAAGTTTCAAAATCAGAAAAAAAGCAAAAAGTTTTACGTTTTGGTCAGTTGTTAGAGAGACATTGTGTGAGCAGACGGTGAACAGCCTATTCTTCTGGCTCTTATTGGACTGTCCCCTCCCGCCTTTCTCTCTATCGCTTTCTATCTCACTCTCACTCTCTATATCTCTCATTCTTGATGGCCATTTTTTAGTTCCTATCCGTTCTCTGTTGAGATTTTCTTCCTTTTTGAAACTTTTTTTCCATCATCTCAGAACATTATCCTTCCATTCTGCTCTTTCACAGCTTTCATTTTACAGTTTCAGTCGTTTTTGCTGTTGAAAAGATAATCATTTGAACTCTTCTATTGGTTCTTTCCTTATCTCCAAAGACCTCTAACCTCCTCTTATCAAATCTGATAAGCTTCTCATCGTATTAATACTCTGTATTAGTGAACGTTCATCATTCAAAATCTTTATCCCCTCTCTTACCCTATTATCCTTTAATCCGGATGAATGTACTGCTTACGACTCCAACTGATTAACATATTACTTGGCCCGTCATTTCCACGTAACTCACGTGGCGTGGTCACGTCGTTGGCATACGTGACCAATGCCTAGTTCATTTGTTGCGCACGAGAGTTGTGAGCTGGTTGTTCTAAAATTTAAAATTTCTTCTGACTTTTTAAATTTTTGTTCGTTTTTTTATATACTTCAATTTAATGTTTTAAACTTTCCAGAAATGTTGTCTACAATGAAATGTTTATCTCGTGTTGCTATAACAACCGTCAGATTGTCTTCGCATCATGCTCGTCTTCCCTTGGGAACTCCTATCGTCAATCAATCATTGGAAATTAAAGTTCCAGATAACAAAGTTTTGGTGAGTTTATCCATTCATCCGAATCAACACTCAATCAGATCGTTTTAGGCCACCTATGTTTGGATCGATGGCACAGGAGAACAGTTACGTGAGAAAACAAGAACTCTTGATGAAGATCCAGGAGAAGTGAAAAGTGAGTCCAATGAAACCTTCGCAAAATTGTGATCGAGTTTGATCTCTCTCTTCGCTCTGAACTGAAAAGTGCAACCATCGGTTGTAAACTTATCGGTCAGCCAGCCGATAATTTTCTTTTTTTTTGAAAAGAGATCTTTGTGATTTGCTGAAACTTCTCTAAAAACAGAGAACTTTGAGCATTCGCAAACCTTTAGTAAACTGAGTGCAGAAAGGGATGTGCTCTTCAAGTTAATTCAACTTTCCAAAAAACAAATTATAATTTTCAGATTATCCCGAATGGAGTTTCGATGGATCTTCCACTTATCAAGCTTTGAAGGGCAACGACTCAGACATGAATCTTGTTGTAAGTATTCGATTCATATTCATCACATATTTTTTTAATCAATATCATTGAACTTTTCCAAATTCAGCCAGCTGCCATCTATCCGGATCCTTTCTGGGGAGGAAAACATAAACTCGTATTATGTGAAACCTTTGACAAAGAGGGAAAACCAGCTCGTGAGTTCATCTTACTCTTTATCCTATAAGACAAGATGGTTTGAAGTTTCTGCTTCTAATGGTATAGTTTCCAGCAACTAATCACAGAGCCGCTTGCTCTCAAGTAATGAAACAGATAACACAGCACAAACCATGGTTCGGAATGGAACAGGAGTATTTACTCCTTGATAGAGACGGTTATCCACTTGGTTGGCCAAAGCACGGATATCCTGCTCCTCAAGGTAAGCGTTCTTTATGTTCAATTTTAATTCATGGTTGTTGCTACAGGACCATATTACTGTGGAGTTGGAGCTACTAAAGTCTTTGGACGAGAGGTCGTTAACGCCCATTATCGCGCTTGTTTGCACTCCGGATTAGAACTGTTTGGAATCAACGCTGGTTAGTTATATATTCTACTTGTTATTATAACCAAAGTTCTTTTAAGAAGTTACCCCTGGACAATGGGAATTCCAACTAGGATGTTGCGAAGGAATCGATATGGGAGATCAGTTATGGATGGCTAGATATCTTTTACATAGAGTTGCTGAACAATTCGGAGTAGCTGTTACTTTCCACCCAAAACCAAATGTCACTTCCGGAGATTGGAATGGTGCTGGGTGCCATTGCAATTTCTCAACTGACAAGATGAGAGCTGAAGGAGGACTCAAGACTATCGAAGCTGTAAGATTAATACTTTGCTAAGTTGAATAGAACTTATGAACTTTCAGGCCATGCCAAAACTTGCTGCTACTCACAAAGAATGCATCAGACTATATGATCCACATAACGGAGAAGATAACAAGCATAGGTGAGCATCTATAATTAGCAGCGCAATATGAACTGCATGTTTTCCAGATTAACCGGATTACACGAGACTTCCTCAGCCGAAAATTTTTCCTTCGGTGTAGCTGATAGATCCGCTTCTGTTAGAATTCCAAGAGGAGTATCTGTAGCTGGAAAGGTATAGATGAATTGGTTTGAACTAATATACAAGTATATTAAGGGATATTTGGAAGACAGACGTCCTTCATCGAACTGTGATCCTTATCAGGTTACTCGTATGATTGCTGAAAGTATTCTTCTTCGTTAGAAGATTTATTTCCAATCGCCTCAGGGTAGAATTTTTCCCTTAGAAAGTGTAAAGAAGAGAGAATCAATTCAACTTTATAACATTCATCCTCAAAATAAACTAAAAATTGTATTTATACCTAATCACATAAGAATACTTGTAGGTGTCAGTTTCATTCGATATTCGAATTGCCCTTCCGAACTTAATTTGTATCAACCTAAGCATTATTTATACACTTAGCATTTATATAAACTTTTATTTCTTTTTTGAAATGTATCTTTGTTAATTAAACTTATTCGTTTTAATATTAGCTTTTTGAATATTCCCATATCGACATGCGACATGCATGACTCCAACCACGTGCGTGTCCCAGAAACCCAACTCTTAGGAGAAAACTAAAATATAGCTCTCTCACAACGTATTGATGTAGATCATTGACGTGAATCAATGGAATGCATTTCCAACTTTATCAGGAAATGATAAATGTCTATTAAAACAGTCTTGATAAGCGTTTCAAATTATTTTTCCAATGAGCAGAAGGCTACTGTTTAGCATTTTCGTGTTTTTTGGAAGCGGTAAGTAGATAGACAGATCACCGTTTCCAAAAGAGTATTTAAGCACTAGCCCAAACTCCTTCAACTCTTTGTCCTAAAGTAGATGGGGCACAATGGACATTCGATCATGAATCTACAACATGCTGGCTCTTAGGAGACCGAATGCTCAACTTCAATCAATCGCAAGCATACTGCCAGGCGAATGGAGGAAATTTGGCTTCCATAACGAATTTGGATGATTTCAATATAGCTACAAGTTCGTATTTGAGGTTTACCTGATTGGAAATCTCGTTTAGGTTATTCTCAACCTCATCTCCTCCCGCCATGGACTGGAGTCTATTATAGCAATCTCTTCTGGAGGAATTTAGATGGATCAAGCACCGTGAAATTTTATTGGCAAAGAGGTAAATATATGAATATTGCATAAGTATATATATTTTGATATTATTGACAATCGAACAAATTGAAGGAGAACCAACAATGTATGGAGATTGCGCTGTTTTCCGAGCTCCAGGAGATAATAACTCCGGATTAGCGAGCGTTCCGTGTAACAACTTACAATACCCCTTGTGCAAATTCGTTCCTACTATGTAAGCTTCGTAACGTAAACAATCAAAGTATGAAATGATTTAAAGATGTCCTTCGACAACGATGTTGGGTGGTGTCAATGGAACATTCACAAGTCCCAATTTTCCAAATGGTTATTATAATAATTTGAATTGTCGTTGGTTAATTAGAGGTAAGACAATTCCTCTCTCTCTCTCTCAACAAAGCTGCAAGAGCTTTGTTTATTTTGCTTTCTCTATTTTACTTTCAGCCCCGACAAACAAATCTTTCATTTCCATTACTTTCGATCCGTATCAGGTTGATACACCAGACGATTATGTTGCAATCTATGAAGGAGATACTATAAGTTCATCTAAACGAATTGATATGTAAGTTCAGTTCATCAGCTTGTTAGCATTTGCGTAGGAATAGAAGAACTCTTTCAGTTTCAATGATCCCAGTAATCAAAAGAATGTTTTCGAAAGTGAAGGCCCCATTATGACCGTTTTATTCCATTCTGATTCTGACACGACAGATGTAGGATTCTCCGCTAAATACCAAGCCATGTATAGAATCTCTCGATTGAAAAGAAATTTCTTTAAAGACCAGACTATCCAGATATAATTCAAAATGGAACTAGTGGCAACATGAGTTCACCTAACTATCCGAAAGAATACAATAACTTAGTGGATCAGTCTTATCATATGAATGGTCCCTCCGGCACTAAAGTTAGTTTGATTAGCCTTCTGAGTTTACTGATGGGCATTTCAAGATAGTGGCCACCTTCAATGTCTTCTTCACGGAGTATGAGTATGATGTCCTCTACATATACGACGGTCCTATAATCGATGAACAGTACTTAATGTTAAAGTACGTTGAACGCGTGAACGAACCACATTCATCTTCTTTTAAGTATTTCGGGCTTACCGAAAATGCCTCAAAGTTTTGAGTCGACAAAGTCATCGATGTCGATGGTCTTCATGACGGATAGCTCATATACGGAGCAAGGATGGCAAATGAATTGGAAAGCGGTTCAAATAGTTTAATTCATTCGTGCACATGATTTTGAGTAAAAAAGATTCATTTGAACAATTTCATTTGTGAAAAATTTTGTTTGCGAGATCAGATGCTGACTTGTTCACTACTTGCCTCCCCAGCTCCAACCGAGATCAATCCATTTTTGGTTGGGCATTTTTCGGAGTGGATGAAGCATATTTACCAGGCTTTCATGCGTCTGAAAAATATATTTTTCTCCTTGAAGCAACATATTTGGTGTGGTTAAGAGGACTTTAGAAGATTCAAGTTGCAACTTTGAGAACGTTGCCAGAATGTGTTTCTCGATGGGAATACTAATTGAGAAAACTAAAAAGACATACAGCTGAATCACTCCGTTTACGGTAGTCTGACCAATCGATAGTTTCGAATGCTCGGTTATCTGAACTTTCACATAGTTAGATACACTATATAGTTTACGATATGAGATTTACCTGCAGGCAGAGCATTGGTAGTTGTCAGCTGCAGAAGAAAGGCAAGGAAAAGAATTTTGAAAAACATGCTTTTCCACATGAAAAATGTCAGGAATGAATCTGAAAAAAAAAACTTTTCTAGGAAAGAAATGAATCCGATGGAATAGAAAAGAATTAATGAATTCTCATAAACAAGCCGCGAAAATAACTGAGGGAGTGTAAGCTTGAAACTTCGGACAGCTTCAAACAGAGACAGAAAGAGAGAGGGAGAGGGAGAGAGGGAAGATAATTGTCAGTTTTATATGGAAAAATAAAAAATTCTCAGAAAGAATTGGTAAATATATCTTTCAGATAAGCTCGGTCTCGGACGAAGATTCAGAATCTGCCGTTTTCATTTGCATTTTCATGTCTCTCACTCTCGAGATGCTCTATTTCGAAAATGAAAAAAGGTCATGAAATGAGGAGTTTAAGTAGAAACGGCATAGTTTCAGCAATGAATAACTAATAACTTAAATTCATCGAGATAATTGAACAGAAGCGAATCTCTCACTGAGCTTCTAGATTGGCTATATGTGCTGGAAGAGAGTTTTGTTTCTCACAAGATATCTCAGAACACCCGAAAAACAGCATCCTCCTTTTTCATGAAAACTTATCTGTGCCTCCATCTAGAGAACTAAAAATAGATTTCTTCTCGACTCAACGTATAAACGTATAGTTATCTCCTAACAGATTATAAATCTAATTAAATGGTTTCAAGATTCAAAGGCGAACTTCCTTAGAATGAGCTTTCAGCTGAAGAAGTTCAAGTGAGAAGGGGAAATGATACCGGTTTAGAAATTGTAACATGCTATTCACTCTGTCTCTCTCTTTCTTTATGGTCTCTGCTTATTTCCGTCTTTCTCTTTCATTTTCTTTCATCAAAACCCCCCCCCCCCATCTTCACTTCCAACTTACTTCTTTCACACTTTCCATAATAACATACCGGTCCTACTGATGAAGACACTCAGGTACACAAAGTGATGTCCTTTTTTGGAAACCAAGTTGTCCTATTGTTTGACTTATTGTTTTGTCTGTAAATGATATGTAACGATGAGGTTTTCATCAGGTAATTCCTCTTCCGTTCTTTTCCTTCTTCTTCTTTTCTTTTTTTTTCTCAATAGAAGTTCATTTCTGGACCTCGCTACAGTATGACATCGACCTTCATATGTCGTCACTTCCGTATTTTATACTTTTTAATTATTCTTCTCAGTATATGAGGCTTCCAAGCTGAAGGAAGCAACAACGCAGTTTTCAGTATAATCTGAGAATCTGTGTGGTTGAATGAGATTCCGTCGTCCTATTCATTAGATATCTCTGCCAGTCCCATTGTTTTAACTTCTTCAAACATGCATATAGAGATAACCATCCTGCTGTCTCTATCTCTCTATTGGCCTTTTATGTCCTTTTTTTCAAATTGTTTCCTTGTTTTTAGGTTTTATTAAGGATTTCTTCATTCCAAATCTCTTTACCTCTTTTGGGAAATAATTAGATTATCAATTAAGAAGTATTGATGTCATCAGCCTTTATCAAACGAGTTGATCATCTATTTGCGTGCCTCATTGAGACGAAGAAACGCTTGAAACTAATCGTCGAGGTTATCTGCTTTACATTTAAAAAAAATAATTTGTTCATTGATGGTAATCATGTGCGAAACTCATGAGATACCAATCACAAACAAGACATGAAGGTGGAACAGGGAAATCATTTGATAACAGATATGAAGAGGAATTCGAGGAGACAGAAAAAGGGGGGAAAAG